TTAGGAAGGGGGAAATGTTCGGCAGAGGTCAGTTTTTTTATACTAGTCTGCAAACATGCATATTTGTGCTGTAAGTCCGGCCATTTAACTGTGGGGATCTGTGGCCGACTCACTTTGGAGTCAGCCTCAAGAGGCAGCTAGAGAAACTGCAGCTTTTTGCGCTTTGCAACATGAGTGCTTATGTAATAATGTACATGGGTTGAAATGTCAACACACTGACTGGAGTTGCAGCATGTGTGATCTCAAATTCCACTTCCTTTTGTCTTCTGCTGCCTTTCTGTTAGCACACTCTGCAAATGAGATGAAGATATGAAAAAGCAAAAATAGAAATGGTGCCAGATGTGGAGTTCGGACGTGGATCCACTCGTCAGAAAAGACGTGGGTGAGGTCAGCTTCCCATTTCAGGCTAAAGTAGAATCCAGATATAGTGAAAGAATTAACGTGTCGTCACGCGGCTGAGAACACGGACATTCCTGTGCAGTGACCTGGATTCAAGTGAAGCGATGAAGTCTGAAAACTGGGATGAGATGTAAATGAGTGATTTCTGTTTGTCATCAGCACCGTGTCAGCCAGAACGGTCTGAGGCCACATGTGGCTATCGCAAGTCTCCCAAAGCAGCCAGATGACTGTAAGACACGCAGAACTACCACAAACCACACGGTCATGTTGCTATAGTCGTTTTGCTTCACCGGCTACGTATCATGCAGATATTTTGCATCTCCTAGTAGTTGTTTTGTGACTCTTACTGGTTGTGTTATATCTGTTTATGGCCAATTTGCATCTCTTCATATCTTTGTGGTCATTTTGCATCTCCCAACCTGAAAAAGAAGTTAAAGTTCACACTATATGGCTCGTTGTCCTGGGCAGTAACCCGTGCATTTATTCACTGTTTTCAGATCAAGCATGTACATTTATTATTTTTTCTTAATCGTATGTGTTAGTAAGAAGCATCATACATTTCTTGTCTGAAGAAGGGACACATCAGTAGGGATTCTGATTAGACTCTAAATATCTGTTTCGCCTCTTTGTGAAACTGTTGTGTAGTTCAAAACTATTTTTAGGCTCTTGTGTTGTGTCATTGAGGGTCTTTATTTCCTATCAAGTATTCTCATTACCTGCAGATCTGCTCCGTGTTTTCCTTGCAACCCCTTTGTGCCACTCCTAAACCGAGGGGTTCCACAGGGTTCAATCCTGGGTCCATTATTATTGTCTTTACATTAGTCTTTTTTTAGCAGGTATCATTTAATCTTTTAATTGCATTTATTATCACTTTGAAAAACACTTACTTACAATAAGTTCATTTACAAAAAAATTGTACTGTATGAACCTGTTAAAGGAATACAGAAGAGTAAAAACAAAGGAAACAATAAATGTCTTTAAAAATGATTTAATGAAACAGAACTGAGATGAAGTCTTCAGAAACAGGATGCGAACGGTGCTTATGATGAATTGCTTAGAATATTTACATTATTGTATAATACAAACTGTCCAATAAAGCAATATAGTAGAAAACAAAAATATACGGACTGTCCACAGATAACAAAAGGTCTGCAAAAGAAGGGAAAATGCTCTATACAGAGATACAGAGATATACAGAGATCAGTAATTAGTTACTGATTACTTTTTTCAAGTAACTTGACCAACACTGGTCACAACAGGGGGGATTTTACTCTAGTATGCACCGGCTGCTAGGTGCCTGTGATGACTGATGGGTTAGTTGTTGTTTAAAATAGTCTCAGCCAGCAGAAACTCATGTTTCCACGTTTTTCCTAATTATTCAAAAGTCACGCTTCGGCGTTCTCCCACCCTGTGTCAGCTGCAGAGATGGCTCGTTTGGGGCAGCAGGGCGAGATGACTGAGTACAGGAAGATTGTGATCAAGCGGGACCTGGAGATGGGCGTGGTCATGACGGTGTTTCGGCAGAAGGCAGAGCGGCTCACGGTGCAGGTCATCATGGAGACCCGCCAGGTGGCGTGGACACGTACCGCAGACAAGACTGACGGCGTCTGTAAGTATTTGAGTCTCAGTTGTACGACTTGGGTTCATCTGAAGCAGGATGTGACAGGTTTTAAACCACACCATCCACACTCCTTTCTCTGTGACCTTATTTCCCGTTTCCTAGTATCTATATAGCGGATGTATGTAACCACGGTAACGTCCGCCAGTGTTTTGGGCATTTTAAAGCCACAGTGTTACCATTTTGGTCACTGCCTCATTTCTGTTTCTTTTCTGTGACCCTATGACTAATCACAACATCCCTATATATCCCTATATATATGCATGTTTTGTCTAAATTTCTCCTTCATTGTGTGATTTCACTTTATTATTATAAATGCATTTGGGGTATTTTAACCTTTATTTGATGGGACAGTGGAGAAAGACACAGAACATAGCCTCAAATCCTTATGGCATATGGGTCACCTGCTGAAAAAAGGGTGATTCCACTTTAAAAAGGAAATAAAAAATGAGTGAGTGAGCAAGATACTATGTGCACAGAAGCTCCGCCCCCTGTTTGTAGTAGGTTTGATAAAGGGGAGGATGAACTGAGGGGCCCAGTGTTAGTGCAAATCAAACATTGCTACTTTAGTAAAGTCTATGAATGAAATATAAGTTTGGAAATATGCATTACAGGTCTCCTTCGGTAATGATGATGGTCGTTTAGTTAAATCACATCCTGCTGCTATAAAGAAACACGTGTGCTGCGTTTCAGTGGACCTGTCTGAGATCCGAGAGATCCGTCCGGGAAGAAACTCCAAGGACTTTGAACGCTTCAAAGATGGGAAGGACAAGCACGATGAGAGCACCTGCTTCACCATCTTTTACGGCTCCCAGTTTGTTCTCAGCACCCTCAGTCTGGGAGGTGAAGCTTTCTGGATGTTTCATGCAGTGTTTACAACAGAATTTAGTAGCATCAGAAATATTTACCTGCTGCACAGCAAACTCGTAGTTGCCAAGTGGATTTGCGTGATGTATTTGCATCTTCTTTTCATTTCCCACGCTTGCTGTTAAGTTCTTTTGAAGCTTTTCGGTGCATAAGTGCACCTGTTGCTCCAGGAAGTGCCTAGTGCAGGCTCATTTGTTTTAGGGGTAAACAGTAGTTTTGGTGTTACCTATTAATATAACCACATCCACTGGTGTTTTCACAAACACATCTTTGAGTAATGAGTCTTTATTTCTCATTGTGCAGCTGATTCTGTGGATGAGGCGCAGAAATGGCTGGTGGGACTTGAAATGCTGAGGGAGGAGACTCGGGCGTCACCAACCCCGGTGCTCATAGAGAGGTAGCTGTGCACGCTGCAGTGTTTTCATCACCTCAGACTCTGACATTTATTCATTCTGTAAAGATGTCCTCCAACCATAGCTGCCCCGAATTTAAAGCAAAACATTACACTAAGGTAGCGGTGTCAAACATGTGGCCTGGGGGCCAGAACTGGACCAGCCTGCCAGACAGCTTTGGAAAATGTAAAAGATGGCAGAAAGTTTTGGACTTTTAACTGTATTTTTATACGTTTTGCAGCTTTTCCTGCTGATAAACACCTCCCCCAAGCCATTTCATCTGACACCGAACTATTTAAGTGACAGATAAACATTTAAATGACAGGAAAGTTCCTGTTTTTCACTGTCTACTATATAAACTGTGGTTTTAAAAAAAAAGAAAATTATTTTTGCAAATACAGCACATTGTGGCAGTGAAACCTTATCACGTAGAAAAACTGAGAGGTGCTGCACTTCTTTATCTTATATTAAGATATTTCAGGGATTAAATGTGCAGTTAAGCATCTTTAGAGCGACAGAATGTGAAGTTTCACATGTTCGGCCCACTTAACTTAACAAAGTGGGCTCTAAAAGTAAGAATGTGAAGTGTTTGAGGTCTTTGTTTTTCCATGATCTAAACATAAACCTACACTTTCATCAAGTCTTTGCTTTCAAATGTTACATTATACATACTGTTAGGATGCACCTGACAATATGAGTCATGCAAACACCTACAGACACACACAGACACCCAGCTGTGTTTCCATGACTTAACAGGACACACACACACTGATCATTGACTCTCTGTGTTATTGCCCCTCCAGCTGGCTGAGGAAGCAGATGTATTCTGTTAATCAGACCAAGACAAACAGGTAAGCTGAATATAAAGATTATCTACTAACTGTTTAGTTTATGATACTTACTAATAATCCAGTGGTTTTACCAGTGTGCTGCAGCCCCGATCTCTGGTCCCACCAGCACCAGCGCCTGTTTGCCTTCAGCCCCTCTGCTGTGTTTAATATGGATTCTTTAAAAACGAACAGAAGCTAATTATTCCAGCTGGCTATATTTAGCATGTAGCTAGATGTTTCGAGCTGAAGAGTTAGTGAAGCAACAAACTGTGGAGAGAGCATGCTCAGTTGCCCTCCTGCATGCTCAGAGCGTTTTGAAATGACTGAATGTCCAAACTATTGTATGGAACATAAACAGCACTTGTGTTCATCATGTAACAGGATGAGAAATTAATTGGAACAAAGTTGAAATCACGGCAGGACGTAAGTCTGGTAAACCTGTTCATGGTGATCTGACCCTTTAAAGTTTACCCATAATGCACTTAGCGATGCAAGCTTCTGTTACTCTGCAGTGCGTCACAGATGGTACTACCCTGTGTTACTGATGCTGCGCCTTTCAACCCTGGAAACTTTAAAATTTCATGTGGATGTAATCTGCATCTCAGAATCATTTCACATTGCGTACACTTATAAAAAATCTGTTCTATACCTGATCAAAGGAGCTTGCAAAGAAAAGCGTCTGGACTTCTTTAAGTTACTTGAAGACGTTTCACCTCTCATCCGAGAAGCTTCTTCAGTTCTAAGGTCAAATGGTGGAGAGTCCCAGATTTAAACCTAGTGGGAGTTCCCCCCCACAGAGGGACAAAAGGACCCCCTGATGATCCTCTAATCGCCTGAGCCAAGGTGTGGAACTGGGTGTGGGTCCCAATCAGACAGAGTTTCAGGTGAGCTCACTGTGAAACCTGGCCCCACATTATCATGCGAATTCCTGAGGTCAGATGGCCCAGGATGTGAGTGGGTGTTAAGGCGTCTGGGGAGGGATCTCAAAACTGGATTATAGATGGTAGACAGTTGGTGTCGTAAACCACCGCCTCTGTTCAAAGATGGTCGCTCACAGTGGACATAGATGCTTCTTTCACTCCTCTTTCAAACATCTGTCCTCTCTGTCCAAAATGTGAACATTGGCATCCTCGAAAGAGTGACCTTTGACCTTTAGATGCAGATTGGTAGCTGAGTCTTCAAGTAAACTTAAAGAAGTCCAGACGCTTTTCTTTGCAAGCTCCTTTGACTACGATGACCTGGATGACTGAGAACCTTCACAGACATATTCTACACCTGATGTTAAAATGGCTTTTTTCTGCACACAGGACAGTGTCTGAACATGCTATAACCAGTAATAATAAATGGTTTCCAGTCTGATCACACTGGGCTTTTTGTCTCATATCCAGCATCTCCTTGAAGGAACTGAAGGCGCTGCTTCCTTTGATGAACTACAAGGCGCCGAGCTCTCGCACTTTGAAAGAAAAGTTCCAGGTATTTCCACTTTGCGGATGCCTTTTTAAAAACATAGCTAAACCCCTTCAGAACACAAGCAGTCGTCTGCAGCTGCTCCCGTCAGCTTGATCGCAGCTTTCATGCTCTGCTTTCACAGGAAGTGGGCTCGAAGAAGGATCGCCTGGACTTTGAGCAGTTTCATAAATTTTACAACCTTCTCATGTTTGAGCAGAATGAGGTTGGTATGAATGAATGACATCACATAATATCACCAGGTTCTTGTTTTTGTGGCCCTTTCATTCATGCCGGGTTTGTTTTTTCTCAGGTTCTTGACGAGTTCAAGAAAGAATCCTGCGCCTTCATTCTGGGGTGAGCTCCCGTTTCCTCTCGTGTAAATAATAATCTGATGAAGGATGCTCGCGTGAATGTGTGTTCCCTCTCTCTTCCGTCCTGCAGTAACACAGACAAACCGGATGCTTCGGCCGTTCTCCTGCACGATTTCCAACGATTTCTCATCTATCAGCAACAGGTAAACGAGCTACATGTCGGACAAGCCGTGACTATATTTAGGGTGAGGATTATGCAGGAAGCAGACACGGAGCAGACCTGGCACTCGAGGAATCCTGAGTAGAATTTGGAAACTTTCAAGGTGGAAAAGAGCCAAACAGATTAAATATAACCGATCATACCAGCACACGTCCAGGACCAGCTGAGTGGTGGAATTCATCTTTCTTTTCACTGTCATAGCAAAGATCTGGGTAAATGTACTTCTACTTATTATAATTATAACCAGTGTGGCGTTGGTTCATCTGGTGTGATGAACAGGGATGCTGTACATGTCTTGATGGGTGCTTAAGCGAAGCTGTGATGTTTTTACGCAGTGCACATGTGTGTGAGAACGACAGTTTGCAGGGATAAAAACGTTTAAACGTTATTTGGAGGCAAAGTCAACAAAACGTCTGAAGCTTTTAGAATTTTCTGGTGATTCGATGCATGCAGCGTTTAGACACATGTAGACTCATGAACGTCTCTCCACGTGAGGCTTTAAAATAATCGCCTGGATTCATCTGAACATGCCTGCTGAGGTCTTTGCTTACAGTTACACCCACTTAAAGGACATATATGTCATCATTTGTCATGGTCCTGGGTCATCTTACCCAGAGTTTGGGTTATTGAAATATTTTTCTTTTTCAATATTGTTTCATGTATTTCCTCTTTTATTTATGCCTGATACTAGTTTCCGAGTTTATTCAGACTTTAGTTCTCCTCACTGTTCTGTCCTCTTGTGTCAGTCCTCCTGTATTAAGTTCATTCTTGTGTCTGTGTTCTCTCACTTCCTGTTTTATTTTGATAGTTAGCCATTCCTTGTGCTTTGCTTTCAGTTTTGCTTCCCTCTCATTACTTCCTGCTGTGTTCCCCACCTGTTTCCACTTGTCTCATCACCTCTTGTTGCTCCTGGATTTTGTTTCCTGATTTCAGCCTCGACCTATTGCAGCATAACTAAGGGAGGATTCAGGGTCACCTGGTCCAGCTCTAACTATATGCTTTAGCTAAAAGGAAAGTTTGAATCTTGAAAGTAGAGATAGTGTCTGTCTCCTGAATCCAAACTGGAAGCTGGTTCCACAGAAGAGGGGCCTGAAAACTGAAGGCTCT